GGCCTGTTCTCCGGGGTGTAAAAGTTGAACCTGTACGCTGAAACAAAACGACAATTGAAAGCATTTGAAATGTGTTGTTGTAGACGAATGTTAGATATCATCTACATATAAAGACAAACTAATGGCAAAAATAGTGTAGCGTGCAAAAACAAAACGACAATTACTGGATATATATATAGGAAAGGAAAGCTGAGCTACTTAGAGCGTATAATTACATCTGAGGGACGGTTGGCAGAGAATCTGATGGGTAATATCGAATGAAGAGCTTGAAGCAGGCAAAGACTCACTTGCCTCGAGCACATTAGAAAAAGAATTGGAGAAGAGAAGCTTGAATTAGGAATGTTAGTGCAGGTAGTGAGGAATAGAGAGAAATGGAGAGCCATAATCGTCAACACTCAGAATTGGAGAGGACACCATGATTGATTGATATGCACGTTACATAAGGTAGTGATTACTTAAGATAGATTACACAACCAAGCGCCTATTTTACCAGTGTACTGGCCAGGGAGGAGGTCTGGTAATGCACTAAGTTATTGGAATTAGGAGATTAAGTTCCAACTTTTCTTCTTTCTTTTCCTTTTCTTCTAGTTTTTTTTTTTTATTAACTTTGTCATATTTAATTTCATCATACGATTGATCTGTCCAGCTTTAGGAAATACGTTTTTCTTATCTCTTTATATAATATTTGCGACTGACTCAGAGTTATTGTCCCCAGATGGATGGCAGAAATCAAAGCAACTGCAAGGTAAAAACCATCACCTGGATGTATTTATCAAGCCATGCAGGGGTAAAGCTAAATGAGGAAACTGACAAAAGAAGCCTGAAATATATTGGCAGAATGTCAATCACATCTGCAAAAACGGCAACCATGGAAGGTCTTCAGCAATATTCAGAGGGAATTAGACTGCCAGGAGAACAAGGTGCCGTACGGTGTAGCTAGAAGTAGCAAAATATAAGGAATCAAAAGGACAGTAAACAACCAGTTCAGTTGTAAGATTGGTAAATGAACTCTCTTTTACCTCCTGCGAGGCAGACGATCTTCACATGAGGGGTCAGCGCCTATTGGTACAACCCTTGGGGTTATCACTCATGGCAACTCAACTTCAATTGTCTATTTTTATTACCATGTTTTATTTGTATTGTTTTTTATTTAGAACCAACTATTCTCCCACAACGCGTTGCAGATGGCGAATACTAGTATTAACTGTTGGACACTGCGGGCTTAAAAACCCATGTTTGATCATGATCCTTATATTATACTTTTAATTTGACACTTAAGTTTTATAAGAAAAAGTTAGATCTCATAACTGGTATACCCCAACCACTATGTGGGTCCTAATTATGCAGATACAGATAATTTTATCGTATTCGATGACGAGGAACCCACTTTGAGACTAATAATGCTTGGAAACGGCTTAAATGGGTAATGAAGAAAAACTTTAATATAAGTTTAACATAACAGCAAATGTACAACGCTTCGACAAGGTTTTGTCACCTGATGATTACAAAACCTTGTCGAAACGTTGTAAATTTGCTGTTATGTTTGTTTGTTTGTTTTTAATTATGCACAAAGCTACACAAGGGCTATCTGTGCTCTGCCCACCACGGGTATCGAAAAACGGTTTCTAGCGTTGTAAGTCCGCAGACATACCGCTGTGCCACTGGGGGGCTGCTGTTATGTTAAACTTATATTAAAAGTTTTTCTTCATTACCCATTCAAGCCGTCTCCAAGTATTATTAATTTTACCGTATGTATTTGAAATAAAAAGTCATGAAAATTAATGTTGTTGTATTTCGTACTCGTTCATTTAGCTGTTAAAGTTAGCATAACCACTGTTTTATATACGTCTGTGTGTTTTTGTTTACATATATATATATATATATAATGGAAATGTTATTGATACAAATAATATATTCATAACACAATAACCTAACTTCCAGTTTGGAGTATTTTTCATTGAATACAATATGAACTTAGATTGAACTTCTGTAATATATTAACTCTCTACTCTTTGTCTCTCTTCTGAAAATTCGGCAGTAAGACCTTTTTTTTATTTAATAGACCAGGGATTTTGTCTTGTTTTTCTCTTCAATATACCACCATTAAAAGCGATTGCTTTGGAACTAAACACATAATTCGCTCACCGTGAACTACTTACATTTCACATCCTGGAGCTTTAATCACAGACAGACGAGACCAACTGATATTATCCAACTTTCAATCGATCACAAGAAAAGCAACTGCGTCTGCGCAGTAGACACAGTAGGTAGTGCGCTCGTTTGGAAGCAGTCAATCCGGTGCTTCTCATTTCTCGGGTTAACACAGTTAGTCGGAGAAAAAGCTTAATTTTAATGTTTGGCTTAAAGCATGGTTTTCTAACGCTTTCACCGAGGTGGAAGGTGGGTTACGTATTTCTTCAAGAATACCTGCCCTTGAATAGGATGTAGCGGTAACAAACTCTGATGGCCATTTTTAGTTCTGCAACTCGCCTGTCTTTTTTCGGGGCAGAGACACGTCTTGATCTTAGGTCGATCATAGCGGCCCTTTTACACGAGAAATATGTTTCGAGGACTATTACTGTTACTATTCATTTTCTTCTACGTCATCTGGACGATCCAGATAGCCGCAGTGACGGTTCCTCTTCTGGCCGCCTTCCCGTCAGATTCTGCTTCCCTACTTGGCCAGGCCCTTCGACGGAAAATGGATGAAGTCGAAAATCGCTTGACCAAGAAAAACTTCACTTTTCTCACAAGCTGGGTGGCACTGCCGAATGACACAGAAAAAGTGATAAACGTGTCGTGTCAAACAATAGAAAGTGTCCAACCTGTTCTGGTGTTCAATTTTCTAAATAGGCCCTTTTCATTTTTTCTATCTTTGGTCGCTGGTTATACGGGTATTGCAGAGATTGGCCATGCACTACAGTACAGTGACCGGGCTTCTCAGGTAAGATGAATTCTCGAGATAGTAATTTCGAGAAATATAAGGCGGACATAGCTCTAATTTATGTGGCTTACTAGTCGTTAAAACAGAAGTGTTAGAATAAATGTAATCAGTCCTGAAAGATGTATAAATATAAAGAAATACAAAAGTCCACTCTTGTAATGAATCTTATTAGAATTGGTAACCCACGAAGAAGACCATTAATTCCATGATCCAAAGTCACCAAACATATCTGAAGAGAAAATCTCACATCACGAAAGCGGATGAACACTTTTTGTAAAGTTGATTACAAACTTGGACTCTTTGATTTCTTTATATTTTAACCTACTGTTTCTTATCAACAAAGTTATTATAAATCTGACGCCGCCTTTATAATATTACTTACATTGTTTGGCAATTATAAGTAGTGAACTTATACTTGAAAATAAAAGATGAATAAATATTGACTTAGAAGGGGTTAACATTTTAAGGATTTGAAGATGTGTACAATAAATAAGATGTCGGACTTAAAAAGTCTGATCTGTTGAAACGACATCACCATATCCTTTATTACATCAAGCTGGAAGCCATTTTGAGCATGGTTTAGTTAAGATCTTTATTTTATTTTTACTGGTCTCGAAATACATCAGAAAAGTTATGAAAATCGTGGTTCAGGAAAAAAAGAAGAAACAAGTTTAATACTTCCCTACACTTTTAACTCAAGCTATGATTATCTGATTTAGCCATCCGTATTGAAACTTGACAGAAAATTATTATTATTTTAATATTCCAATTTAAAGGTAATAGATACATTAGAAATAAAGGTTGTTAAAGAGATTCCAGCTCGAGTGTGATATGTTGGATATGAAGATTGATTTATATATATCACTGTTGAGACCCCAGCTCGGATTGATATGTTGGATATGAAGGTTGGTATAAAAGTGCCGGTGTTGAGATCCCAACTCGAATAAGTTGGATATGAAGGTTGGTATAAAAGTACCAGTGTTGAGACCCCAACTCGAATATGTTGAATATAAAGGTTGACATAAAAATACCAGTGATGAGACACCAGCTCGAATCTGTTGGATATGAAGGCTGGTATAAAAATACCGGTGTTAAGACTCCAGCTTGAACCTAACACCCCTCGCATTCCACAGATTGATGTCCTCCCTCCAAAGAAGAAACTTTGCGGTTAAATTAAAGATAAAAGTATTGAAATTCATTGGATCTGTGTAGTCCACAGTATAACTATTTAACACATAAACCATTAAACTGAAAGCCTAATCTGAATGAAGAGTTTTTCCATTATAGTTACAGTTGTAATATAAATAATGTTACCTTCTGATCAAACCAGGCAACCTACTTAGATCGAAAATAATAAATTAACCTGGTAATGAGCATAGCTAATTAGATGATCTTTTCTGACGCTCTTACTTATAGATATTAGAACAGATTATTATATTAAATGAGTTCCTTCGCTGCTAACAAAATTTTTGGCCGTAATCCCAATAATATCTCACGAGATTCGGCTAGCTTAGGAGACTTAAATTAGCCTCAATCCATATACTATGATGACAATGCTAAACAGTCTCTCTAAAAAAGTGTAAAAATATAAACTAGAAGATAATAAAGTCAAATATATTAAACATTCTAAACGATACAGTTAATTAAAGTAACAATAAAGGAATAATATAGTTTACTTTACTTACGAAACACACATAAACATCAGTTATAATGGCTGGAGACGGCTTGAATGGGTAATGAAGAAAAACTTTAATATAAGTTTAACATAACAGCAAATGTACAACGTTTCAACAAGGTTTTGTCATCATCAGGTACATCATGATGATGACAAAACCTTGTCGAAACGTTGTGAATTTGCTGTTATGTTAAACTTATATTAAAGTTTTTCTTCATTACCCATTCAAGCCGTCTCCAGACATTATTAATCTCAAAGTGGGTTCCTCGTCATCGAATTTACATATA